GTGCACTTTCAGTTCTCTTGCACATCGAACACTCTCCCCTCCTCATTCTTCTACCTCTTATGTGCATCGCTTTTCTGAGAGAGCTACTCCCTGATAACGACTCGACATGACCAACTCCAAAAAACGGTGGCTTCGTCGCTTCTACTATTGGCTTTGTCTACCTTTTTACCTTTTTACCTTTTTTTTGCATATTGACGGGCTGCCGCTACCCGTCCGCTGTTTCATTTGCGAATGAACCATCTGAGCCTGTCTCTTTTGCTTTGTCTCCTGATATAAGCCTTTTGCAAGCAGACTTGAAGGCTTTGGGACGTTTTTGCATTGATACTGGAGGATACCTTATTTTATCAATTGTGATATCGGACTATTTTATCTGAATCCATTGCTTGCACTGTTTCACTTGCCAGGTTTGAGTCGAGCGCACACTTCTCTTAGTCCTAGATACCAGTCTTTTGGATGGATCCGGTGTCTATACCCAGCAACTGAATCAAATCTGAACCATTTCCTCCACTCTCTAATCTGAGAAAGGGAAGAAGGGAATGAACAGAAGAGAGACGACATCATTTTATTAGAACTGTAAATGTAAAAAAAAAGAACAACTTGAGATTGGCACTTTTCACTCAGAGGGTGTGACCCGATTAGGCAAAGCGCAAAAAGCTGTCTCCGAGGGAGCAAATCCGCGTGCCCTCCAGCAACTTCGCGCCCGAATCATCTACCACAACAGTTCTCATTACCCTGTCATTCACCATTGCACCCCGCACTCTTCAACCTTCCCTCCTACTTTTATGACCCGCGGATAAAAACCTCCAGCTCCAGACAAGGGTGGCGGCGAGCAGCGCTGCCGCATACATACCAACATGGATTACGAAATGGATCTCGAGCCCACAGGGCCCCAAGTGACAGTCCGCGAAGTAAGCCGAAACATCCACAGAGCAGCAGGATAAAAGACTCACAAATCGTACAGGCGGAGCCCTACCGCGTCGACTTCAGACTGACCGCAGTCGACCTCGCATTCGCCAACTCCCTCCGACGAACCATCCTCGCCGAAGTGCCCACTCTGGCACTCGACCTGATTGAAATCGAAAGCAACACCTCAGTCCTCCCCGATGAGTTCCTCGCCCACCGCCTCGGCATGATCCCCTTGAACTCGTACAACTGCGACCAAGATCTCGACTACACACGAGACTGCGACTGTGAAGACCACTGTGTGCGCTGCAGCGTGACCCTGTCTCTGCACGCGCGCTGCGGTAGTGGAATCATGTCCGTCTACGCGCGGGATCTGATTGTCGTCGGCGAGCGGATTAACGAGAAGATCGGTGATCCGGTTACCACTGACCCGGAGAACAAGGGTCCCTTGATCTGCAAGCTGCGCAAAGGGCAGGAGATTAAGATGACTTGTCTGGCGAAAAAGGGAACTGCTAAGGAGCATGCGAAATGGGCTCCCACTGCTGCTGTTGGCTTTGAATATGACCCCAACAACAATCTGCGCCATGTGGACTACTGGTATGAGCAGGATGCGGCGAAGGAATGGTATGTATTTTGAGCGTTGATTTGATACCCATGGGTTTGCTTTGATCTATCTACTAACAATGGCTTTTATAGGCCTATCTCTGAAAATGCTGCCTGGGAACCTGCCGCCAACCCTGACCAGCCCTTCGACTACGATGCGGAGCCCAACTGCTTTTACTTTGACGTGGAGAGCATTGGCAACCTTGAGCCAGATATGATCATCCAGCAGGGTATTGTGTCGCTCCAGCGTAAGCTCGCAACCACCGTCTCCGTCCTCTTGGGTGAAGGTGAGGACGGACACGCCGGGGGCGCTGAAGATGCTGAGATGATGGGTGCCAATGACCCTGATGCTTACGAGCCACCTGAGGGAATTGACGGAAACATGACTGCCTACGGAAACGGCGCAGCCAGTGCTTGGGGCGCTAGTGCACAGACACCGTACGGTGCTACGCCTTACGGACAGAGCAGCTATGGGTTCTGAACGTGCATAACCCAGCAAGAAAAATAGAGCTCGAGCATGCGCAATGGAGTTTTGATTTCCTGGTGAATTGGGGCGCACTCTGGAGTTTTCCGTTCTTTGTATCTTTTGCTGGTAGGGACGGTCTTCTGGTCCTAAAGAATGGCTGGTCTCTGTATCTCAAATATCTACTCGTTGGTTCAGTGAACCTGAAAATACTGAATATCATGAACCTTTTGCTAAAACCATCAAATATCTCCCTAAAAGGGTCACTGTGGAAGCAACAGTCTAACCTCGCCAATACCCTAGACCACTAACCAAGCACGAAAACCCGCATGAAGCAACCCCAGAAACCCGCATATACATATACGCTCATTTCTCAGCAGACCGTACCTTCCAAGCTCCAATACAATCCCAAGCACGAAAACCCCAAAACCACATCAAAACAGCCACGAAAGCCCGCATGCTACATTTATAGACGCCCTAAACCCACATACCCTTGTTTCTTAGCAGAGGTCTCCGGGCTTCATAAATAGCCTCGGATTCCCTCAAAGCCGTCTTATCCTGAATTCTACGCCTACATGGTCGGCCTAGGACTAGGCGGGGATCTATTCGGTGTATAGCGTGGTTCTAATCTGTCACTCTTTACTGCTCCCTGCAAACAGTTTATGTACGTGCCTAGGTAACTATATTGATAAGTTTGTACTATATAACTAACATCTATGTAACCAATGTCTGAGCTCAGCCCAAACAAAGATTGAGCGGGACGTCAGATTAAACGTTAGTATAGATTATCAGATGGAACTACAAAAGATCAGATATAAAGATCAATCAACATGTTCATTTTAAACCCTTATTAACCATAGTCCTGCGTAGAGCAATAAAAAAACGTCAAGAAAATCTCGAAAAAGCTACTGAAATGCTCATCCTTTCCAAACGCCTGGCATGCCACAGATGCGATGACTATACACAATACACAACCATGCCTCGCTAAAAATGCAGAATGTAGAACACAAAAGAACAGCATCCCCGGAAAACAATCTACTCCATCAACTCAACCGGTGGACGAGAAGTCTTAGGCGGCATCTGGTTGACCGACATCTCAATCGGGCTCAACGCATCCATATCAACATCCTCATCCTCAATATCCAGCGTCATATCCTCAACCATAACAGCTGGAAGATTGGGACTATCGCCATGGTCCTCGGGGTGGTAGATGATGGTGCTGCTCCGGCTACGCTGCTGGGAGCCAGCAAGTGGCCAGCTGGACGTGCGCTTGTCGGAGGAAATAGAGACCGGGGTTGCGGGGTCGATTGCAGAAGTCTCAGGCTGCGTCTGGTCTGTCTTCAGCATGGACAGTGCGTGTGCCAGATCCGTCGCGTGGACTTCCTTGTTTGGCGGGCCCTCGTTGCGCACGACCCATCCGTGGGGCGGGCTGGGAGGAGGCGAGATAAAGAACATCTTGGAGACTTGCGGGGCTTCGAGGAGTTTTGGTCGGCCGCCGTCTAGGAGTGCGGTCGGCTCGCCGAAGTAGATTCGGGGGTGCACGTCGCGGTTTAGGAGGCGCTTGCCGTCCAGGAGTTTGCGTACGGCCGTGGCGTCGGTCTCGTTGTTGAAGGAGCACACGATGCGGCGCATTGAGGGAAGAGGGGAGAAGGAGTTTAGCGGTGCCACCGCGGTGATTTGGTTGCGGATTTCTTCCAATGCTGGGGGTTGGAAGACGAGTAGATCGTGGAGATTGGTGATAAGGAGGGTGTTGGAGGGTGGTGTTGGCTGGGAGAGTGCGGGCATGTTGGCGATATCAAGGGATAGGGATGGTCGCGAGGTGTGGGATGAGCCAGTGAATTTGGGCGATGAAGCCAGCGAGCATGGAGGTGAAGCTGAAGTAGCCATCTTGTGTGTGTGTTGTATGTTTTGTGGATGGATGGAGGTTGGATAAGGAGAAGATAAAGGAGGTTGCCACCGGATAAGAACTGTTTTGAGAGAAATGTTCTAGAATTTCTAATGGACTGTCAGATGGCGAAAATGATTCAGAATGTTTAAACTTGAAAGACAAAAGAGACTATGGATTTGCCTCTCTTTAATACATGTACAGGTCCATCTTTTTCTCAAATTAAGGCCGAGAGGCGCAGCTATCATCCGTCATCCCTGCACTGCCTCTTACATACCACGCCTCCATGTTCCTGGCGATCCACCTGTTCCCGGCTTAAAAACCTAACTCCTTCCGACCAAAGGGCTGTGATCTGCTATATTTTACTATAATTTGCCATAATTTACTAGAATAAACTATAACGTTCTCAGCCATAGAGCCATGCATGCGCCACACACGCCACACATTGCATTCAGTTGATCTTCCCCTTTGATCTGCACCAGCCACACCCCGTGACTTCTCAACAGAAACTCCGCCCCTTTTCTGCCGGAGCATCCGTTTCAACCGAACGCGGAGTACGATGTATACAGCGTTGTACAGAGTACTCCTGTACAAGGGCATCCGGGGCCTCATCCTTAGCCTTGCCTAAGCCCCATTGACCTATACTTTTATCATTCTGCCTACGCCTCTAGGGCCTCCACTATCAAGCATTGCCACCCGCAGTTTCTTCCCCAAGCCTCGGATAACAAACCCGGGGCTTTACAATGTAAGCCTGCGACTAGATGCGTTTGCTTTAGCCGCAAGGCTACTCAATTGATTATTTATGGATCGTATACCCTACCGATTCCCGAGACATGGTGCAAACAGGCTATGGCACTGGCACTGGCACTGGCAAGGATTTCGTGGCACATCCCGGCCCACAAGCCTCGTGCGGTCGGAAATACAGATCATTTGTCCTATCAGTTGTACAGAACACCAGACCCCAGCCTTGCTTGGCCGGATATCGCAAAATCCACTCATATACGTGGATTCCAATAGACACATGTCTTTGAGATGTCTTACCAGTTAAAAGTGCCAAGAAAAAGTGACCACATAGCATATACACAATCCGTCCACGAGCTTAAAACTATGTGCTAAATGAACCACGAGGTAATCAATGAATCTGTACTATAACTTGCTTCCCTGGAGCTGAATCTCTCCGCCTATCTTTGTTTTCGACTCAGCGAGGCGTACCTGTCGCTGCGCCCCTTCCAGTTGTTCAACAACAGCGTTGAACGCAGCTTCAACATTGTGTTCCGATAGCCACTCCGTATTTGGCCTGCCAGTCATTCGAGCAACAAGTGCAGCGTCCTCTTCTTCGCGTGTCGCAAAAGTAGTACCTTTTTTGTCAATCTGGCTGTGCACAATACCCAGCAACCGAGCTGTATGCGGCTGCCTAGTTTGACTGTACAGCCCCAATGCCTTGTTGATATTTCTAGCTGAGAATGTGGCCTTTCTCGAAGCGAACACTTGTTTGAATGCAAGGCCAAGGGCGAGGGAATCGTCTAGTGCCAGCGAGCCTCCGGCTGCGAAGGCACCGCCGTGAGCGTGGGCTGCGTCTCCGATTAGAGTCACTCGGGACCCAAAGACCCAGTTTGGGAGAGCGTCTCCCGCGAAATTGGGATAGAGATTTGTGGATGGTGTGAGCTCTGTTAGGGCTTTGACCGTGGGATTCCAGTCCTAAGAACTGTGAGTCAAGAGGGTTTGGACAGGTCAATTAAGAACATACCTTGTATCTCTCTCTTAAAAATCCCACATTGCCAAGTTGATCCCATGCAATGCTTTTCTCCACCTCCTCTGCTGAGCGTGGGTCATCGTATGCACCCACGGTGGTGTACTGGTTCTTGCCTGGGTTTTGTCAGATATACGCAGCTATGAAATGCTGTTCCCTTCCACTTACCAAGCCGAGACGCAAAGAAGTTGTCTTTGGGACCCCACTGTCAGTATTGTTAGTAATGATTCCTGACACTCCCCAACACAGTTTATAACATACCCAGTGTATCGAATCAGTAGGCAAATCAGGGATCTTGCCCTCTACCAATGAGGCATCAAACGTCGCCCGCATGAATACCTTCCCACTGAACCGTAGCTTATAATCCGGAATAAACGATTGTCGGACACTCTGGACTCGAGTTAGCAAACGCAATGCCAACCAAGGTTATATCACAAACCGATCGAATCCCATCTGCCCCGATGAGGATATCTCCGTGGGCACTACTCCCGTCCTCGAAATACAATGAAACACCGTCCTGGTCAGCTTCCGCGCGTGCAATCTTCTTGCCCAAGTGGATTGACTCTTTGGGTACATACTCGAGCAGAGCAGAGTGCACATGGCCTCGGTGGAAGCGGGTAGTATGGTGACGGGGATCAGGGACGTCATTGTGAGTGTCTATGGACACGACTTGATTCGTTTTCCAGTGGCTATTTGTCTGTCGGTCAGCGTGCTGAGCAGTATCTCGAGTATATGTGATGGATTCAAACCGGAATATCTGCGGGATTCCACTTGGGCCTCTAAACCCGACTTCATCTGTTAGGGCTTTGTGTACGCCGAGTTTCTCCAGTGTGCGCATGCCCTGATATTCCACATTCACGGTTAGATAGTCTAATCATTTCAAAATAATGCGAAAGACCTACATTTGGACTGAGCGCGATGCTAGCTCCTATTTCCAAGAGCTCTGGAGCCTGCTCATATAGCTGGATATCTAAGTTTGGAAGAGTCGATATGCGTGTCAGCGATATAGCCGCTGCAAGACCTGCGATGCCTGCGCCGGCAATCAAGACGCGAAGGGGTTCGCTTTTTTCTGTCATGTTGATATAATTGGATATCCGTCGACTCAGCACGGATCAGTTGCGATAAAAGTTGCTTCTGGCAAAAACAATTTTTTTATAGTTCGGGTCTATCGCGGCCATGACTTCGGAGTATTTAAGCACGCCAACAATGCAGCGCTGACGCAACCCCGCAATGGCGACTTTAGGCGTGCTTTGGAGTCAGACTCGCGTTTGTATAGGTGAAGATCGCGTTTTGATAACCACGCACTCTGCTGCCAAGTAAGATACTAGTGTATGACCTTCCATATTAGGAGAAGACTATTGTAACCCCCACAGTCTGCTTCCTCTTATCCGTATGCGAAGCTCTCAGTAGTGTGAAGACGACGGAGCTTAGGAACATTGCGCAATTTTATCTGCAGGCTAGTGAGCATCATAAGTACCTGTGCAGGGCTGCGATTATCTGCATTTGATCAAGCCTCTTACGCACGTTGCTTGTATTTATACCTCACACGATGGCGGTAGAAAACCACAAGCCCGGCTTCGTGGCGGAAACACAAGCCAATGAAGAAAGTGACAATGAGTTCAATACTGCGCCGAAGCTCCCTGATCAATTTGCCGATGAGAGTTTTAAGTTATTCTCGAAAATCCAAGTCACAGACCCGACTCCCGAAGAAGCAATACAGATTCGCAACAAATGCTTATGGCGGATTTTGCCCTTTCTTTGCATTGGATATCACTTGATGTATGTCGACAAGCAAACGGTATGTTAATTCAATTCCCCGAATATGAGAATCCAGTAATAACATACTAGCAGCTTGGAAGTTCTGCGATCTTAGGAATCATGCAAGATGCGCATCTAAACTCGAACCAATATAACTGGCTCTCTTCGATTTTCTATTTCGGGTATCTTTTGGCTGAATGGCCACAGAATTGGGCGTTGCAGCGGTTTCCTGTTGGGAAGTGGCTGGCTGGCAATTTGATAGTATGGTATGTTCTTCACTTGCCCTCAAATAATGATATATCAGTCATTGACTGGCTTTAAAGGGGCGGAATCACCCTCTTGCATGTACCTTGCAACAGCTTTGCGTCTCTTTTTGTTGTTCGCTTTTTCCTTGGGGTAGCAGAAGCATCCATTGTTCCAGCATTCCTCCTTTCCATGTCCATGTTCTTTACCTATGGCGAGCAGGCCGTGATGATGCCGGTTATGTGGTCAATTGGTAATGCGAGTCCTATCACGTCGGGTTTGCTGTCTTATGGTGTACTTTGGATTGATACGGGCAGCTTTTCTCCGTGGAAATGGTTTATGGGTATGTTTGCTCCCCCCCAGTATATACTTCAGGTTGCTAACCTCTATTCTAGTTATCACTGGTGTCCTCACAGTCATTTTCGGTGTCTTTGTCTATCTTTTCTTTCCTGATAGCCCTATCCATGCCAATTTCCTGACACACGAGGAACGTGCAAAGGCTATTTTACGAATCAGAGAAAACCATTCCGGAATTGAGCAAAAGATTTTCAAAAAATATCAGTCAGACCCCCCACAGGAGTCTCAAGATTCACTAGCTAACTGGATATCCTAGGTTTATCGAAGCAATTCAAGACCCCAAAACATGGCTCTTCTTCCTACACGCCTGGTCTCAGGAAATGGCAAACGGAGTAACAAATCAATACTCACTGATCATCAGCTCATTTGGTTTCACTGTTCTTCAAACAACACTATTAGGAACGGTTACGGGAGTCGTATCATTCTTTTCTCTCATAACAGCTGCGATCACATTGTATCACACCAAGGTAAGCCAGGCCCGGAAATTCGATGTGAACATGTACTGAGACTTTCAGAACTGCCGAGCATGGATATCACTCATTGCATACATTCCAGGTGCTCTTTCAAGTATCCTTCTACTAGGTTAGTAGTGTTCTTCTTTTCAAAATGTGATCCACTACTAATTGGCCCCGACAGCCTTGCCCTGGTCCAATCGATGGGGTCTCATCGCTGGAATCTGGATTCGATCTACCGTCGGCATCCCATATGCCGTTGTGATGATCTGGGCTGCCAATGCGTCGGCGGGTCATACGAAGAAAACTACCGTCATTGCGCTTTATCATATTGGATATGGACTGGGAAATATTATCTCTCCGCAATTATTCCGGCCGGAGTGGAAGGTGGGTTCTTAATCTGACCTAGCTTGTGTTGTCATACTAACAATGATTCAAGCCTCGGTACAGACCAACTTGGATTATTTTGCTTGTGGTAAGTCCTATTTTGGCAAAGCTACGTGCGGAGCATTTGACTTATAGCTCTTCAGGTCGCTGCAATCCTTCCTTCGATCATTATTATCGTGCTCCGGATCTACCTAAGCCGAGAGAATAAACGTCGCGACAAGCTCGCGGAAGCTAATCAAGTTGCTAGCAATGGAGTTGTCGAGACGGTTGATTCGGATGGGGGCAAAGTCGCTCGAATCGTGGATAATAGTCAGTTGGATTTGACTGACAGGGAGAATTTGACTTTGTAAGTTTTCATCGGCTGGTTTTTTGGTCCTAGGATCTGATACTAATTAAAAAACAGCCGATATGTACTCTAATGGGTTGGACAGTCATACTCTCTGAATATATTCAACCTGGGGTTTTAGAAGCTTGGGATTTTTGAATTTAAATAAATTCGCTTTATACTGGGCGGAATGTTACTATCCTTTTATTTTGGGTTACTTATTTTGTCTATATATTTCCTGTGCCTCTGAATAATCATCATGTGCTATATATACTACCAGGTACGGGTCATTATCGCTTCGAATGGAGTATTCGATTATAGTCCCTGCTTATATATTGAAAGGTCATCTGCACATTTTAAGCCTTTTTCCGCCTTTTTATGCCGTCTAGCAATAAATCTTGAGAAGGGGAGAAGATATGTAAAAAAAGATATTTAAAAAGACAATAAAAAAACCACCGAAAAGACTACCAAAAAGACAACACCAGGCTGCATAGGCGGCCGACTATTCTTGTTTAACGTTGATTTCAAAGCTTAAAACACGATAGGCTCTTACTTCGATCTAAAGTTGTGCGATCACATTCCTATGGCGTAAACAACCCAGCTGCAAGGATCCGATACACAACAATCGGCCTGAATGACGTGCCAGCCAACCTGATGATTTCCAAGCACGTAGAAGCACCATATCTCCTCGATTCTCCTCTTTGTATTCAATTCATTTAAATCTGAGAATGGGTTTCACAGTGTAATCGCTATAAATAAATAGTGTTCAAACTATACTCCAACCATCTACAGCAGCTCAATATGGACATCCAGGAAAGACAGCCTCTCTTAAACTCATCAAGTCACCCCAACATTCCATCTCACAACTCTCAACATGAACCACTCGGCCTCTCATCAGATAATTTTCCCGCACCCTTACCCGACACCCTACCAGGCACGCCCTACAGAAAGACCATCAACTGGTCAAGCGCATACATATTAGTCGTTTCGCAAGTAATTGGGAGCGGTATCTTCGCAACACCAGGCTCAATCGTCAAATCTGCCGGAAGCATCGGATTGACCTTGCTAGTATGGCTGGTTGGGACGATATTATCAGCTTGCGGTCTAGCCGTCTTTATGGAATTCGGATGCATGTTACCTCGTTCAGGGGGACAAAAGGTAAAGTGCATTGCTGCAGAATTGCAGAACCACGTCAGCTAAATTCATTTACTTTTTGCGCAGGTGTACCTCGAGTATACCTATCCCCGACCGCGGTTTCTCGCATCAAGCCTTATAACAGCCCAGGTAGTGCTTTTGGGGTTCACGGCGAGCAACTGCATTATCTTTTCGAAATACGCGTTCTTCGCGCTTAGTATTGAGCCCACCGAACTTCAGCATAAGGTCCTCGCGGTTGGTCTCTTGACTGCCATTACTATTGTCCATGGCTGTTTCTTGAAAACCGGCATCTTAGTCCAGAATGTCCTTGGCTGGGTGAAGATCTTCCTCATTGGCGCCATGTCCTTGACGGGAATCTGGGTGGTTTTTCTCGGTTTGTATGGAGATACTGATAATATATTTCCAGCATCGGGAGTCGTCAGCTCGTTTTCTTGGGATTCGATGTGGGAAGGATCGAACTGGAGCTGGAGTGTGCTTTCCTCGGCTTTGTTCAAAGTCTACTATTCCTACGCCGGGCTGAGCAATGTGAACAATGTCCTCAGTGAAGTTCATGATCCAGTGAAGATAGTGAAGACTGTGTGTCCTACTGCACTCCTCACAGCCGGTGGCCTATACTTTCTTGCGAATCTTTCATACTTCCTGGTCATTCCGCTCGAAGAGATCAAAGGTAGCGGGGAATTAGTGGGCGCACTACTATTTGAAAGATTATTTGGGGCTCACGTCGGAAAAATATTCTTTCCACTTGCTATTGCCATTTCAGCTGCCGGGAATGTGATGGTGGTGACCTTTGGCTTGGTACGCTTTTGCATATATGGAATTGAAAGCTAATGAATACTAACATTAGTAGGCACGTGTGAATCAAGAAATAGCCCGACAAGGCTTTCTTCCATGGCAAAAGGTTCTCTCTTCCTCGCGGCCATTTGGAACTCCACTAGGTGGACTTATTGTACACTATATCCCTTCTATGTTGGTCCTCGCCCTACCACCGAAAGGGGACGTCTACAACTTTATTCTGGACTTGGAGGGATACCCTGGACAGATGTTTTCCTTGGCAATCACAGTCGGTCTGCTGATAGTACGATACCGGGAGCCTCATCTTCCACGGCCCTTCAAAGCATGGTTGCCAGTTGTCTGGTTACGGGTCGCGGTGTGTTTAGTCCTGCTAGTAGCACCCTTCATCCCGCCGCCGAATTGGCGGGATGCCAATTTCTTCTATGCCACCTATCCACTCGTCGGGATTGGAATGTGAGTGACAATCTTTCCATGTGAGAGTTACCTCACTAACAAACACAGTGTGCTCTCGGGGGTTCTCTACTGGTATGTCTGGACAGTGTTACTCCCACGATGGGGGGGTTATCAACTTGAGGAAGAGAAAGAGATTCTGGCCGACGGAACTAGCATCATCAAACTCGTTCATTCATATGATAAGTGACAGCGTTGACGCATATCATGCTCACTTCATGGGATTGGTCATTGACTTCATGTTGGCGTCTGGGAGACAGTGTTGGGTTCATAGAATGCCGAGTCTGTCTATAAGGAGAAACCGCTGGTCCCTAATGACAGTAGGTAACGGATAATGTCTACGACTTGTCCACTTGTAATGCAGCCATGTAGAAGTGGTTGAGGTCTGAGACTACAGTGATTTCCCCGAGCAATCGCGCACGACAGACACACGGATGCATCCATGCTTCTTTCTTCCTTCCTTCCTTTCTTCCTCGATGCTTCTCTCTCATCTCCTTCCTTCCCTATCCATCTTTTTTACATAGCGAATACAGCATCCAGATCTCCCTCTGTATCTGTATGTGCTAGAATCACAACTGAACTTCCCAACACACTTCCCCAGTTCCTCGGGGTTGTCTTCGAGCAAATCCTTGCTTCACCATGGCATCGATGCCTCAGAGGCCCGACAGGCCACCTGCTCCATGTCCCTCCTGGGTCTTTTCCAACAACTCGGACACCCAGTCAGTATTTCCCGCTTCGCAGGGCTGGATTCATCCCTCTAACTAAGCCAGTACTGCCAAAGATCGCTGTTGGTTCGGTACAGACTATATCCCCTTCAGGTCCTATGTCACGGATATAGCTGGGGGCTCGGTCGAAGTCATTGGGATGGGAACTGTCAATCTCGCCACCATAAACTCACCAACCCAGAACGGTCTGAGCTCGCATGGCTCCCTCCTCTTGAAGAACGTGCTGCATACCCCTGCAATGCTCTGCAACATCATCGGAAGGCCCGTAATGGACGACTACACTGTCATATGCGACCGCACTGCCTCAGATAACGCCGGTTTTATTGTCAAGAACACTGATGGTTGTATCATGGCATATTTCAAGCCCATGAGTCAAGGCCCCAAGTTGTACCAAGTCCAACTTGGTGAGCCTCCACTAGGCCATGAGTTTGGGATTTCACCTTTGTGCCCTAATGGGCTCTACATGATTCACGCCTTCTGGTTCCAGCGTGAGCGACAGAGATTTGAAATCTTGAAAGCCTCCGGTCTGACTCGGGCCTCAGGCGTAGAGCCACTGACAGAGGCCGAAACAGGTTGGTTCCGGAGGAATCGCATGTCTGAAAAGGCAATTAGAGTTGCCTACGGGTTAAATTCCAACAGGAGGGAGCATCAAGAGGAAGGCCGTGCCATCATGCGAATTCTCAAGTCCCATGCCGAAAATGAACCGAAAATCGGACCCCAGAAGAACCCGCATGATTGTTGAGAGGAAACAATTTTTATTTCCTCTGATGGTGATTTCCTAGGTGTGGTTGAGGAAGTCATCCAAATTATGTCTCCCGTTGCTTCATATGTTTTCAAAATACCCCAATTAAGCGACAAATTACAAATGACCAAGCTTCCTTCATAGCCTGAACAAAGATGCAAATCGGACTGAATGTCAAATCTGCTCTTAGTCCCAGATATTGGCTGTAGATTCCTTGGGCTCTAGGCATCGTCCATGGCGGTCTTCAAAGAGGCGATACGTTTATCTAGATACGGAGCACAATCTTCCCAACTTGTTTACCCTGCCAAACATATTCAACCGCCTGTTCGGCTTGCTCAAATGGAAATATTATGTCAATGAGGTCATCCAGGGGCGTTTGAGCTGCTGATAATGCAGCACAGAAGTCCTCCATATCATGCTTTGACCCTGCATTGATACCTCTGTTTTGTTACAAGTCAGACTTCAATATCCAATAATTAAGCATCGAAAAATAAATCTCACCTCAAATTAATCCTTCGATCGATAATGGTCGGGATCAGCTCCCGCAGGTCATTAGAGTCCTGCCGTGAAAGATATCCAACCTGACTGACCACGCCGCCACGTCGAGTGCATCTCATACTCTTAACCAAGGAGCTAGATCCGCCATTTTCAACAACAATGTCCACACCAACGCCATTAGTCAACTTGAGAACCTCCTTGTCCCAGTCTGGCGCTTGAGAGTAGTTTATCGTCATGATCGGCGGGTTTGAATACCTGATCTTCATTTGTTCGAGCTTCTTATCACTCGAAGATGTCAAAATCACCCGAAGGCCCGCAGCCCTTGCAAGCTTGAGTGCAAAAACACTGACCCCTCCAGTGCCTACTCAGTTGTTAGTGTTGAACCAAGCCTCAATACAGAGAGCACATACCTTGAATCAACACAGTCTGCCCAATACTCATACCCTTCAACGCCGACCAAGCGGTAACACCAGCACAAGGAATTATAGCAGCCTCAATCCAGTCAAGATAGTCTGGAAGCTTACACAGAACATCCTCGTCAAAAATAATATAATCCGCCATAACTCCATCCTCGTCTGCTGCCAGCCACGACCGCTTCATTTCACGCCCTGAAATATTCTCAGTGTCGATTATAGGCCCGGCCCTATCACCGACCAGCAATGTCTTCACCTTATCTCCAACTGCGAGGACCTCTCCCGCTGCATCATTGCCTAAAATCCCATTTGGAACCACTGGCCACGGGTTCCCTCCATTAGCGATGTTGGCGTCGCGGTAGTTAAGAGCCACGGCATGCACTTTGATTAAGACTGCGGTCGGTGCAAGTGGTAGCGCGAGCGCTTCCTGTACAAGCTTTAACTTCGGCTTGCCGGGAGTATAATCGTCTGTTCGCCTGAAGGCGCGACGGTGGGTGACTTCAGGGCTCGACATTTCTTTTTGGGCTGTTGATAGTAGGAACAATATGTAAAGTTGTTGAAATGATTGTGATTTATAATAGAGATCCTTGCACGTACCGACGTCACTCCAATACGCGGGGACCTACCCCTCCTTCTGGATACATGCTTTCTTCATTCTAACCGGAATTTCTATAGTTTCTAACTTGATGAGAAAGACCCGGTGTGACTTTGATGCTATAACCTATCTGCATTTCTTTCTCTGACATCATCTGGCTAAGAGGGCTGTTCCGGCCACAGCAACTGGCTTGATAGACCGAGGCGATTGAACATGAGATAATTGTTGATTCCGGGGTCGGGTTTCAGGTCAGCATGTAGAAAAAGGACCCGCGGGTCGTTCTCATAGAGATGATTATATAGATAGCTAACTTCTTTTGTTGCGATTTTATAGCGAGAAATTGTATACTATCACAGGCTTGATGATTGACCCTAGACATGAATAAGTCACACAAGTTCAGTGAATGAACCAAAATGCTGCCTGGATAGAAAAAGTTCCTTCTTATGCGTTAAAATTACCCACGGCGCTAACCCGAAAGGAGTAAGTAAAGCTAGATACGCCCTCGGGATCCCTCGCCTTGTATAGCTCCCTCAAAGCAATAAATCGATATGCCCAGGAGATGAATAGATGATATGGACAGCCTACAGTCTCATGTCTTGATACTATTGTGCTGCATGTGCCTATAATGATCCAATCCATGCAAAGGCCTGAGCGATAGAGCTCAGCTTAAGCATGCATTGGTGTCAGAGTTGCATCCTTTGTATGCTCGTGGTGGTTGTAAATGACCCATCGGGCGATAGTTGCAAGTCACAGGCCAATAAGACGCTGATTCATATGCGACTAACTTACAATGACTCCAAGATTCAAGCCATGTTGTACGTAATAGCACTGGAGAAGCCAGAAGAAGGTCCCCTCGGCCCAGCGTTTTTCCTTGCCAAGGCGGTCAGGTGATTCCCGATTAAATTTGTCCGAGGACAAATGATTCCGCTTCCAGTTCACTGAGTCTCTATTCTCAATTCCACATATCACTATTCATAATGTTCCAACGAACCATCCTCAGACAGGCTCAGGCCGCCCGCTCCATCCTCTCCACCTCCTCTCCCTCCACCGCATCGCTGGCGCTGCGACGGACCACACAACAACCACGTCTGCCGGCTATCCGGCCATTCGCTCCCCGGTCTACCCGTCTCTACTCAACGGAGACCAAGGAAGCCACCGAAGCCGAGAACGCAGAGAACGCAGAGGCCGAGGACCCCGTCAAGAAGGAGCTCGAACAGAAGACCAAGGAAGCCATTGAGTTCAAGGTAAGCTATTTCCCCGTATTTACTGCTACGGGTAGCTCCACAGCTCTTTCGCAGACGAATATTAATCCGAACTTTCCATTAGGACAAATGGCTCCGCTCTGTCGCCGAATCCCGCAACCTCGTTGAGCGCAACAAGCGCGACATGGAGGCCGCCCGCAAGTTCGCCATCCAGGGTTTCGCCAAGGACCTCCTCGACAGCATCGACAACTTCGACCGCGCGCTGCTGGCCGTGCCCGAGGACAAGATCACCGCTGCTAAGACCGAAGAGAACAAGGACCTCCTCGATCTCGTCGCCGGTCTCAACATGACCCAGCACATCCTCCTCAACACCCTCCAGAAGCACGGTCTCGAGCGCTTCGACCCCGGTGAGCAGGTCGACGGCAAGGCCCAGAAGTTCGACGCAAACTTGCACGAGGCTACCTTCATGGCCCCGGCTGCTGGTCTCGAGGACGGTGATGTTATGCACGTCCAGAGCAAGGGCTTCCGTCTTAATGGCCGCGTTCTGCGGGTGAGTTCCACATACTAAGATCCAAAATTCTAACGGAGTATTGTGACTAACTGCTTTCTTCTTTCTTATAGGCTGCCAAGGTTGGTGTCGTCAAGAACGCTTAAATCGTCGGCAAAAACTTCGATTCTTAATCCTTCGACCTTCCCTGATCCTTCCCGCCTTTTCACTCTTCTTTACTTGTCTCTGTACCATATGTCATACATCATGATCACGATAGGGTTTTATGCTCGGATACGGCTGGCTTTTGGACCCGGGAAAAGTACTCTTCCTTGCTATCTTTCTGCTCGTCTCTTGAATTCGGCTGTATGATACACCCTTGTTGCATGTGTCTGGAGGCGTACGGATTGTCTCATGTTGGTGGTGTGTTTTCACTTGTTTTGTGACGTCTGTACCTCTTATGACCCCTGATAACTCTCTCCTCCTCACTGTATAATACACACTTCTTCGGGGCACTGCCATAGCCTCCGGTGTCTTCATTCTCCTTCCGCATTCGGCAACCCCTAAATTAAACTCTAATCAAAGACAAAGCTGGCTATGGTCTACATATATGGAACTTTAGCTTAATAATATCCATATATCGATATTGGCCTAATGAGAGGAATGCTATATCTTACATATTTTCCATAATAATCACAGTATAGTACAAAGTATAACCCAACAATCTCCAAGCTCACCTCAGCTCAACTCCAAGCTCTTCAACTAGCTTCTCCCGGACCTTTAGGTGCATCTCATTGCTCTCCTCATTCGTCAAAGTCCGCTCCAAGCTCCGGTAGTTAATGCGGTAGCACATGCTCTTGCGCGAAGTCTTGGGATGCGTAAACTCATCAATGAGAGTAACATCCTCAACAAGATCCCCACCAATCCCACGAACAATCTCCATAATATCATTCTCATGGAAAGGCACACCCCCACCAGCAGCACTGCTACCACCCGTCACAGCCGCAGGAGGCAACCAGAAAGCAACATCCTTATAGCAAGCCGGGTGCTTAGAGAAAGGCTCGAAGCGAGCAATATGGCCAGCCCGGAACTGCGACAAGAACCGCTCATCCCGCGACCAGAACAGCCGGATATCAGGAATATTGAAAAGAAGCATAGCAATCCGCTCAATACCCAGTCCAAACGCCCACCCAATCCGGTCCGGCACGTCAGAGTTGATCAACAGATCCTGCTTGATAACACCACACCCCAGAATCTCCAGCCACTCATCTTGCCAGAACACCTCCAGCTCCCAGGACGGGCTGGTGAACGGGAAGTAAGCCTCGACCCAGCGCACCTTGAGCGGCTCCTGCTCCGCGCCGCCGCTACTCGCCGCAGCGGCCTTGCTGGCTTCCGTGAAGATCTTGATCACCATCCGCTCGAGGGAACGCTTGAGGTGCGCGCTCACAGCCTCGACCTCCTCGGCGCTGTGGTGCTCGTCCTGCAGCGGGTTCCGCTGCGCGTGGATAGTCGGGTTCGGATCCTCGACTACGACGTCGTGGCGCGGGATCTTCTCCACATCAGCCATGATCCTCGCTGCTGTCTCGGACGAGGCGGAGAGTGGGTTCGCAGGTCGCTTCCACAGCATCGCGCCCTCCATCTGGTGGAAGACGGGGTAGTGGCTGCGGTCGATCGCGTCGCGACGGTACACGTCGGCGATCACGGTGTATCCGACCTCCTCGGGGCGGGTGTGTTCGTTGCGGGCGATTTGCTGGAAATACGCCTGCTGGTGGGCGCTCGTGTGGGTGCGCAGCACTGTCTTGTCGTTCACGTAGTAGGTATCTGTGCGGCTGCGGCCCGGGTGGTCCGCGGGGAAGCCGAGGACGTCGAAGTTTTGTCTTGTTGAGACGACGGGGTTCTTCTCTGAGTAGTTGCCATAGCTTGGGCTTGCGAATTGGCTTTCGATGAGTTTGCGTGTAATGGCGAGAGGGTGGTTGTCGTCGAGGTAAAGTCGTCGGCCGATATGAGACAGGATTGTATCGGGGGTGTTGGTCCACTGGTCGGTTGAGTAGGTCTGCCCTTCGAGTTTGAGGCTCGATTGTTGCTGGGGTGTTTTGGAGGTAGTGGTTGCTTTCTGTTCACTCCGGCGAGCTGTGGTTGAGCTCCATTCGCGGTTGCGGGAGAGAATGGGAGTCAGTGGGAGGGAGCGCGGAATGGCGATTTGGGGCCGGATTGAGGCAATTGACCAACGGCCACTGCTCGCACGCAGGGCTCGACCGGTAGCGAATAGCCTCATGGTTGAGTTGGACGTTGTGAGAATTGCAAGTTGTCTATCGAGGCTATCAACACATGTTCGGGTCGGCAAAATTAGTCTCCGAAGTACATTTGTCGAGTCAATCTGCACAACAAAAAAGATAGAAAGCTTAGCATTTACCTCTTTCTAGAAGAGAGAGGCTTATGATTAAAGATGTTTGCATTTCTCTACGGTTGCTACAGCTAGCAGCCCGAGCCATTTTTACCTTCACATATCTACATTGAGGTTCTCTGTTTATTAACTATGTATGCAGTTTGCATCATCACTTGATAAATTATACATATGTTTTAGTATATATACTTGGGTCAGAAGAAAAACAAACAGTTTGATTGATATTGCATCCTATTCCACCTCTTTGTTTTTCTTTTATGTGCGACAACGACTGGATACAAATACTATCTATCGCATTTGCTCCGAGGAAGCGGAACAATATATTGTATTAGAGGAGCTCTAATTCTAGTCAGTAGGATATTTTGTACCTTTGATACCGCGATTACATCACTCACACCCATACCTAGGTAATACCTCCCCAATTAGCCTTTATGCATCTGGTATCTTGCCCCTCCTGCAGAACCCCTCGGTAGTCCGACGCCAACCGCCCAATATCCGTAAAAACTCCGAAGATCAGCTTGATAGCCGATCTCGTCATATCAGCTCGATTGAAGTCATTATTATAATGGCTGTATGTGCAAAGATACCCTCGGTATCCATTTCAAAGACCGAGAAAGGACTATATACAGGGTCTCTGAGGGGTTTGGGCCAGGGCTGTATGTTCCATACAAGATGATGTCCGGGGCAAACGAAAAGACCGCAAACCCGAGAATATGATTGGTGCAAATGATGAACCCCCATCAAGTCACTTGATGTGATTGGCTGTTCCTTTTATATTCGGGTGGCCGAGTGGCTTCGGAGTTCTGATTTGTCTCCGTCGGTATTTAAAGAGCCAAAAATTACGTCAAGTCACGTTCGTAAAAGCCGAGAAAAGGCCAGTAAAAAAATATTACATTTTTGGAATCACTCTCTCCCCGCCTTTTTTTAAAAAAACTGTGTATATTTAGGGGATCTTGTTTCCCAGGATGGCAGACAGCGGCAAGATGTTGCAGGTTTCTCCTCACTCCCGGGTCGTGCCCGTTCAGACGCCGCAGTCAAAACCGAAGCAGGTGCATTACCCGTTTTGGTTTGGGGGTTCGGCCTCATGCTTTGCCGCGTCCGTGACGCACCCGTTAGATTTAGGTATGTTCTTATTCCTTCCCTCAATTATATACTATATGCTGACTTTGCGCCCACAGTTAAGGTAATTGCAAGCCCCCAGCCGTTTGTCCGATGCGTCATTCATGACCGCGATTCCGAGCCCCGACGCTGATATCTGTTTGTCGCATAATAGGTCCGGTTACAGACTCGTGCGCCTGATGCGCCAAAAACCATGGTCGGGACATTTGTACACATCGTGAAGAATAGTGGCTTCACGGGATTATACAGTGGTGTATGTGCGATCCCAAAATCCGGTCGATAGCGAATACCCATGGCTATCAGTAAACGGGCACAGTTGGCTAACGAAGAACCGATTGGATATGGTATAGTTGTCCGCCGCGATGCTACGTCAAATCACATACTCCACAACGCGCTTCGGTATCTACGAAGAATTGAAGTCGCGCGTTGCCTCGCCCACCTCAGACCCCGCCGGCGCACCAAGCATGCTTACTCTCATCGGCATTGCCTCTGCCTCCGGATTCATCGGCGGCTTTGCAGGCAATCCAGCTGATGTGATGAACGTCCGCATGCAACACGACGCATCCCTCCCTCCCGCCCAGCGCCGCAACTACCGAAACGCAATCCACGGGCTCGTCCAGATGACCCGGACAGAGGGATTCAGTTCTCTTTTCCGCGGAGTGTGGCCTAACTCCACCCGCGCAATCCTGATGACTGCCTCGCAGCTCGCTTCTTACGATACCTTTAAGCGCATGTGTATCGAGAAGGCCGGCATGGCTGATAATCTGGGCACACACTTCACAGCCTCGTTCATGGCGGGCTTCGTTGCGACCACTGTCTGCAGCCCCGTAGACGTGATCAAGACTCGCATTATGACGGCTTCTCATGCGGAGGGCGCTGGTCATACTATCGTTAGTCTTCTGCGTGATATCTGCCGCAAGGAAGGCCTGGGGTGGACTTTCCGTGGCTGGGTGCCTAGCTTTATCCGCCTTGGTCCCCATACCATTGCCACTTTCCTCTTCCTCGAGGAGCACAAGAAGCTCTACCGCAAGCTGAAGGGCATCTAAAGATCCAAAGAGTGATCATTCCTTTTTGTGACTCTTTTTTTCCCGCCGATTCTTCCCAATCTTACAACAGCATTTACGCCCTCTGTCCGATATATTCTCGGTATATACGATTTTTTTGTCATTTTCTCTGGTTTTCTATTTGGGTGGTGCACTTTGAGACTCGCGCACACCATTTTCATTTTGGCTTGTATATAGCTTGCATTCTTTCGGATGTTTCTTTCATCGGAGATTCGAATGATGGCCGAGGACGGCCGTGGAGCATATCTAGAACATGACCCTGTGGTTTTGTATAGTGTGCTGGATTATGTATTTTTCTTGTTAGAGCTGGGATTACATAGAATTAGATACACACACACTGAATCGCATTCAGAGCATTTCCGCAAGGACGACATGGTTTCTACTCGACTTTCTAATTATATTCCCAAGCCACGGTTCACAATTATTGCGAGCGTCTACTGATGAAAGATGTAGGGACTGCCCATGCTTCAAAATAGTCAGAACAAGCACTAGCTAACAACACATTTCTCTTTACAATACGACGAGTTTATAAACACCCTTTCTTGCCTTGGACGGACGGAACAACTTAGGAAATATGGGGGTTGTGTCCCCGCGTGACCCAGTAGAGTACATTGGAACTTGTCGATACATAAAATTTGACACGGCTCACTTGACCAACGAAAAAAACAGCTGTTGGTTATCTACTTGTCAAGGTGGACAGGGAAGTTGCCAGCCTCTGTTAAAACAAGTTAGTATAAATAAACACATATCCAGAGGAGACTTGGAGATGCGTACCGCGCTGACCGTCCCAACGATCGGTCCAGGCCTTGGGGCAAAGAGAGCGGAAGGAGTGGTAGAACTGCGAGAGAAGCTGTTAGAAGCTGTTGGGATTCGAGGATATTGTCGGTGTCGAAATTACCTGCTTGCAGGGGCGGAAGTCCTCGCCCTTGGCAGTGGTACACTTGTAGTAGTCGACATAGTTCTGCCAGCAGTGCTTGGTCCTGCGGAGCGAATCAGCGTTAGATAAATATGAAAAAGACAGCCAAATAACAGCTTATCACGTACTGGTTCTGCTGGGGGAAACGGGCATCGTAGCCTGCGATTCGATCGAAAATTGTCAATTTACACCACACATCAGCTGATCGGGGGATATCGGTCCACGCGCATGCGACGAGCGAAAGAAGCGGGAAAATATCAAGGTTTACGCACCAGCTGCAATTAAATTAGCCATTGACTCTCTATAGGGCTCCTGGCCCCGGTTTTCTCGGGAGGGGGTAGTGGACTTACCAGTGACGAACTTGAAGGGCTTGGTCTCGAGGACCTCATCGGGGTCGGCTTCCGGAATAGCACCCATATTTGCGATGTGTAGCTTCGAGAGAAACAACACACGAGGGAAAGAATTGAAGTGGAGTGGAAAGAGAGGAGGGGAGAAAGAGAGCCGGGAAGAGCGACGTTGGGTGATTGAAGCTGTGAAGTGCCGGATATGACCGCGGGCGGTCAAGCGAGAGCCACTCAGCGTCTCGCTTTTACACCCGAGCCAGTCACGTTCTCGGAAAGCTGGTGTTCCAACCTCGTCCTCTATCCCACTCTTCTTCTGCTTCTCCAGAGTTGAACCACAGATCTCGCCATGTATCCCACTCGCATGCTGCGGATGCAGCCCACCCGGGCTTTTGCTTTCCCTACTCCTGTATGTTCTTCCCTTCGGCAGTGGTGTTGTGATCATACGATCCCTCGGTTACTAACTCATGTCTGTAGAAGGAGCCACAAAGTGGTATGCGTCTCTGAGATCACTAGATCCGGTGATCAACGAAGTCATGGAGAAATGGCTTTACTTTTATGGGGACAGTCAATGAACTAACCATGCGCCTACAGCTCACACTATCTCCCAGCGTCTGCGCCAGCTCAAGCGTGTGCCCCCCGAGTTGCTCCCTATCGGTATGTGCTATAGTCATGGCTTCGTGATCGGAAATTGGGCTAACAGGCTGTTTGTTATTTAGGCTTCGTCCTTGCGTACGTTAATACCCTGTTTGATACTATTTGCCGCTTGATTCCGGGAGCACATGCCCGACACATGCCGGAATTTCATTCCCCTATATCCCATCACCGGCAATCAAACTTATCTTTCCCTGATGCTAACTTATAATCTCAGTGTTGCCATTGGTGCCGCCATCTACTCTTCAGGCAAGAAGCTGATGACCGACAAGACCCTGCGTCTCTACCGCAACAGCCCCGAGAGCCGTGAGCACTAAATTGTACCACCATGTTTCTTTGAGTTCTCAGAATGCGATCTGCAGTTTTTGGATTCTTGCCGCTTGTATTGTTCATTAGGAGAATTTGAAGCCGATGGGCATGATTTGAGAAAAACCAGTGGAGCAAAAAAGGAACGGGCTTGAGATTGGAGTCCGTGTACATATTCCGGCTTCCCGAGCCTGAATCCTGTGGTATAATTGGCAAATTGTACTATCGTGTGGGACTTCTGCTTTTTGTTTGTCATCTTCGTCGTAGCTATCGTAAAGTGTAGCGTGCTTCACTCGGGCTTCGGCCCAGCAACATCTAATTGTTCCAATCCCTGCATAGGATCTTGGGGACGACTGTTTGCAGCCTGAGCCTCCTCCGCCACTTCCCGATCCTCCTCGCTGACGGCATGCTTGGCCAAGTACCCCTCCTGTAGAATATGTCGGTTAGTATAGATTGAGGTTAGATATAGAA